TACGAGATCCTAAAAACACAATCGTACAAAACCTTGCTCATCGAATATCTCGTATATTAAAAAAGTCTAAAATAACTTTACTATGGATTCCGAGCCATGTCGGAATAAAAGGCAACGAATTTGCTGACAGGGAAGCAAAAAATGCATTGAATCTCGAACAAACAAATATCAAACTACCATACACAGATTTTAAACCTACTATTCGTACAGCCATTCAAAATGAATGGCAGAAACGCTGGTCTCTGGAGACCAACAACAAACTTTTTAAGATACAACCGAAACTTAAAACATCTATTCCCAGTCGGAAAGATCGTAGAGAGGAAGTTGTCCTCGCTCGGCTCCGCACTGGGCACACATATCCTACTCATTCGTACCTTTTAAAACGAGAAGATATACCTTCATGCCACGCATGTGACACTCCATTTACAGTGGAGCATTTTTTAATAGAATGTTCCGATTTTAAACACATTCGTGATAACTACTTCCGAGTCCCGGATATGAAAACACTTTTCAGTTCCGTGGATTCGAAGGCATTATTTAACTATTTGAAAGACATCGGTCTATTTTATAGACTCTGATGTCTTTTAACCCACCTTATCCTTTTTGACGTTATATATATATCGCATATTCCATATCATCTATTCGTTATCTCTTTTATTATTTTAACCCCCTTTTATTATTTTTAATTATCTACACATACAATGCGAATACTTTTAAAATGAACCATTTTATCTGATTTTATCTTCGCTATTCACATGTTTGTTAAAAAAGTAAAGTGAATAAATAAATCACCATGGCCCTAAATGACCACAGCCGTCGATGGGCCGTTAAACATAAACAAACAAACAAACAAACAAACCTCCATGCTAAATTAAATCTTTGACTTGAGGAAAAAACGGACAGGGTGTCATTATTTCCCCGTTTCCCGCCCCCTAACTCTTGGTTCCCGCCCCTAACTCCCGGTTCCCGCCCTAACTCCCGGAAACCTCCTTCCCTAGCCCCCGGTCTCCCGCCCCCCTCCTTGAACTCGATGGTCAGGTGGTTGCGCCCCTCTCTTTCCGCACCTCACCCACTCAATAATCAGGTGCGCACCCCTTCCCCACCATGATTGAGTGACTCACCCATCCGGTGCCTGTGGGTAACTCAGGATGGGGAAGGAGGGGCGCGTGATCCTTCCCCCTTAGCACCCCACCCCATCCCGTCACCCAACTGGCGCCGTACCTATGCAATATTTGCGCTCATGAGTGGGTTTGGGTGCATATGGACTTTGTATGGTTATATTATTGATTGTATCAAAAGAAGGGTGATCATATTAATAGTATATGCTGTACTCTTGTGTTACTGTATATATGTTATGTTATATTTTGAATCGATGAACCGTAAGCCTCAAGTTAAGTTTAAAAGTACTTGAACTTGAAGACAACTGCTTTAATTTTGAGGCTTCCAAAGTCGTGAAATGCTTTCAAAAACGAAAACTGTTCAACCAATAGTTTTTTTGTAATAATCAATAGATATAGCGATTTTCAATAACGAAAATTAATCCATTTTTTTTTATAAAGGTAAATTAAAGTAGATTAGAAGTGCATTCAGCCATAACATACAAAGGAATTACGCAACTGTGTGGTAGTCATGAATATACGGAAGTGTGCCAAGATGCTTAAAAAACTTCACATCAAAACTGAAAAAAAAAGAGACTTTACAGGGTAATATACACCAATCTAAGGCCCGATAATTTGTTGATTTTATGTTGGAAAAGTGCTGAAATGCAACCTCCGGCCATCTACATATTCAAAAAAAATTCAGGGGGAGAACTTCCGTACCCCCCTTACGAGAGGGGGGCATCCATTCCCCCCTCTCGTGCTCTCCTCCCGGCTCCGTCCTATACGACCCTCGTTGGGCGGCCTGTGGCCGCCCGCACCCCCTGCGGCGGTGCACCACGCTTCGCTCGGCAAACACATTTACCGGGAGCGTGCCTCCCCGTTCAAAAAATCCTGTATCCGCCCCTGGGCATCAAAATCACATGCGAGAGGAGAAATCAGCGGCAGGATGACCTTCCTCGCCTAGCAAATGATAAGTAAAATTAAAGAACTAAATGTATGGGTCCTTTGGAAAAGAGCACGCACGGGTCAATACCTTAATTTCCAACCTCGTCACACTTTGCACCAGAAGTTGACGTAGTACGTACGTTGCTCAACAGATATAATGCGATTTGCAAAGTGAAACAATAAGCACGAGCAGAACCACCTCTATGGGGCAATGAAAACACGTGGATATCCGAAACGTGCACTCCAAAGGGTTAACAAACAATCTAAAAATAAAGGGAACACAAGAAATGTCTTATAATATACTAGAAGAATATGTCGTCGCAGAATGCATGTACAAAATCGGTTGCAAGAACTGCGATGTTTCGTGTATTGAAGGTACTAAAAAACGGATATTTGATAGGCTTTGTGAGCCCACGAGAAAGAAATTCACATGTCCGAAAGGAATCAATCAAAAATCCTAACATAAAACGTCATCCACACATGTGCCAAACGGCAATATCATGTTATTAGCTGGTATAAAACCTAAGGTAGTTTACAGAGTAAACTGTTCTAGCCCCGGATAAAGGCAGGAAGCCATTTGGTTTGTCGCAGCGAGTCGGTTCAAAACCGAGATGAGGGAACTCGTAGACCTCGCACATATATATAACATATCTCAAAGTTAAGGAAAATCTCAAGCTATGTATTGTCTATGGGAAATCTTAGACTTGAGGAAATTTCCTCAAGAGTTGAGATGTGTTATACAAGTAGGTATTTTACAAGACCGGCCTAATCGATTTGTGTTAACGATGAACACAATGGCAATCGAATGGACATATAGAAGCGTACAGATACGCTTAAGCTACAAACATAATATGTAGAAAATTGACATGTAGTATACATGTATATATATATTACCAAGCCATATCAATCATATATAAACGTCAAATAAAGAGCTGTCTTGGTAATGATATTAAATGACACATCTCCCCTACATCCTTATTCGTCTAAATATCACTTTCAAATGTCTATATAACCACATATTGACCTGTACGTTAACATCAAAGACACACGGAGTTTCGATTTCATATTAGATTTGATGAAATTGATCTCGATAATTTTAATTTGCTATTAGCTTTCAGGTTAAAAAAAATATTGCTACAAAGTGAGTTTAATGAAATTCCTGTAAAACGAGAATACTTGGTAAGACAGACTTGTATTAGCTTAGTTTAACTTAGTGTATTGTAAAGTCCTTAACCGCGGTTCTGACGTCAGAGGTCAAAATACTCATGTAAACACATGTGATGTACAAAACCATGCTATTTGATGTATTCAAAGTCTCTCGATCTTTTCAGGTGGTTAAAATATTGGCCACGTTTTCAACTCATATTTTGTTCCGGGCTCAGTGGCAGGAAGTGGGTGAGCATCAACACATGATAAACTAGAATTTTGTTTTTGTGAACAAAAACATATGTCTCCCCTTTTTAGCCAATAGGAAAAAAATAAATTAAGAAAGGACGTTCCGGGACAAGGGTTGAAACGTCTAGAGACTGATAGACCCATCTGGGTACGGGTTGGCAGCCCAAGGTGCAGTCCTTGCGAGAGGGGGTGGGGGGTTGAAGCAAGGTTGAAGTGCAGACTTGTAGAGTTACAGACGCAGCGCTCAGAAGTAATTTCTGGTGAGACGCAGGAGGACCCCAGCCAGGAGGCACCCCATAGTGTTGGGGACCAGAGTGTTCAAGCACATCCAACACAGCCAGCACGTAGGTTGAGGATAGAGTGGCCAAAGATGAACAACAATAAAGCTTGGAGAAGTTTAAATGCTGACTTACATACCATCCTAGAGTCGGCTCTAATGGGAAGCTTAGATAGGAAGGTTGAGGCAATGGGAACTATCATCTACACATTCTGCAATGAACGATTTGGAGTAGGAGGAAAGCAGAGATATCCTAAGAACGTAACTATCCTGAATAGAAGACAGGATAACATCCAACGGCTCAGACGATAACTGAAAGCAGTACAGGAGGGCAAGTGATATAGAGAGGATAGGATTACATCAGCTGCGGGACGACCTCAGGGAGAACTTGACAAGACTCAGGAAAGCAGAGCAGGTTAAGAAGGCAAGGAAGGATATAGCAAGGAAGAGGGAGTCCTTTATCAAAGACCCTTATTCGTTTACAAAGACACTGCTGGGAGTTTGGATAGTTCAACAGCAGATATTGAGCAACACCTGAGTGAAACGCACGGAGATGAAGATAGGGGCATTCCATTTGGGAACTGTCCACGGATAGAAGCAGAGGAGCCGCCAGAGTTTCCGTTTGACACCAAGGAACCAACTTGGAAGGAGATCCAAGAAGGCAAGAACTGGTTCAGCTCCAGGCCCAAGTGGAATTCCTTATAAAGTGTATAGAAGTGCCCATGGCTTTTGAGGAGACTATGGCAGTTACTGAGGAAAGTGTGGAAGAAGGGGAAGATACCAAAATGTTGGCAGAAGGCAGAGGGATGTTTTGTTCCAAAGGAGAACGACTCAAAACACATCGGGCAGTTCAGGACAATTTCCTTGCTGAGTGTTGAAGGCAAGATTTTCTTTGCAGTATTGGCAAGAAGGATGACATCATACATGATGACCAATGGATACATTGACACATCAGTACAGAAAGGAGGTATACCAGGCTTCTCAGGTTGTGTGGAGCATACCAGTGTGCTCAGCCAACTAATCAGAGAGGCCAAGTCCAGCCGAGGGAATCTGACAGTAGTGTTGCTAGACCTGGCAAACGCATATATATCAATGCCACATGAGCTGATTGAAGTAGCCCTACAACATTTCTTTATCCCGGAGCATATACAGGGAATAGTACGAAGCTACTTCAGTGGAATCCAGGTGCGCTTTACTGTCGGGGAGGATACAACATCCTGGCAAAACATGGAGAAAGGAATAGTGACAGGATGTACCATATCAGTCATTCTATTGTCATGGGGATGAATCTTATCATCAAGGCAGCAGGACGGGAAACCAGGGGACCAAGGACAGAATCAGGAATCTACCAACCATCGAATCGAGGTTTTATGGATGACCTGACTATGACTACCACCACACATGTCCAAGCTAGATGGGTTCTGTCTGCATTGGAGGAGGTAGTCTCATGGGCGAGGATGAAATTCAAGGCAAGAAAATCAAGGTGCATGATAATGAGGAAGGGACGACTGACACAACAGTTCAAGCTGAAAGTACAAGAAGCAGAGATCCCATCAATTGCGGACAACCCAATCAAGTACCTAGGAAAGTGGTTTGATGCATCACTGACAGATACCAGCAACATCAGCAGCATGCAGAAGCAGGCAATTGAGTGGATGAGGAAGATTGACATGTCAGACCTGCCATGAAAGTTCAAGGCATGGATCTTCCAACATGGACTGCTGCCGAGACTCATGTGGCCCCTGCACTATATGAGGTTCCTTTGACAACAGTGGAAGGACTGGAAAGATCCATCAGCAGCTACCTGCGGAGGTGGCTTGGAGTCCCGCCAAGCCACATCGTTGGTGGAGGAGTTCAAGGTAACAAAGGCCAGACTAGTGATGGCGCTGCGAGATTCAAAGGACGAGAAGATAAGAAACGCAGGAATCCAGACTATGACAGGAAGAAAATGGTCTGCAAGCCAGTCTGTGGAGCAGGCCGAGGGCGCTCTCAAGCACCGGGACATCGTTGGAGCAACCTGCTCAGGCCGGCAAGGGTTGGGGAAAACCCATTTTCAGGCGTGGGAAGGATCAGATGATAAGGAGAAAAGATCTCTGGTACAGGGAGAAATCCGCAGAGAAGAAGAAGGGGCCAGGAAAGCAAGGGCAGTGGAAATGGGCTCTCAAGGAGCATGGACGAAATGGAAGCTGCCGGAGCGAAAACTTACATGGACAGACATGTGGCGCTATGAACCATTGAGGATCCAGTTCCTGTTGCGGTCGGTATATAACACTTTACCGTCGCCAGCGAACCTTCATCTGTGGGGACTAGTTGAAGAGCCAAAGTGTCAGCTATGTCAAGAACGTGGGACCATAGGCCATATCCTTTCGGCATGCAAGACAGCGCAACACAGGGACGATACCGGTGGAGACATGACCAGGTGCTTCGGGAATTGGCAGATGTTCTCGAGGTGGAAAGGAAGAAGAAGAGACCACCTCGTAAGCACAAACCATCCTTCATCCGGTTTGTAAAAGCAGGGGAGAAGGAGACGAAAGCAACATCAGGCAACACTGGCATTCTGGAAGGGGCAGAGACATGGGAGATGAGAGTTGACCTGGGGAAGAAATTGGTGTTTCCGGACGTCGTACAGACAACGCTACGTCCGGATGTGGTGATATGGTCTGCCGAATCCAGGCAGATTATAGTCATCGAGCTGACTGTGCCCTGGGAGGAGCGGTGCGACCAGGCCAATGAGAGAAAGAGAGCCAAGTATACGGAGCTCATGGAACAATGTAGGGAGCGAGGGTGGCGTACTTGGCTGTTTCCTGTGGAGGTCGGATGCAGAGGGTTCCCGGCACGCTCAGCCTGGAAGACATTGCAGGCTGTGGGATTAGTTGGAAAGACACGCAAGACGGCGGTGCGCAGGCTAGCAGAGGCTGCCGANGTACATGTGAGTCTTGTTTCCTTCCAATATCATATATGCTGGGCACACAGAAATGTAAATAACGGTGCAATACTCATTTGTTAGCTTTGATTTGTTTTATTTCACCTTAAATACCTCTCCCATCAAGAGCCAGGGTCAAAGTCAGAGATCCACATTTGACCGAAATGACCTTGACCTTTAACCCAGTGACCCTGATCTTTGGTCAGTTGACTCATTTTCAATTCCGACCAACTTTACTTCATAATAGCATAACAAAATATTCATCAGTGAAAAATACAAAACTTGACCTTGACCTTGAACCTTAGGAACCCGTAACCTTGACCTTTGGTGAGTTGACTCAGTGTTAAGTTCTGAACAACTTTGCTTCATAATAACATAAGTCAGCTGACCCCTTGTTAAATTCCAACCAACTTTGCTTCATAATGTAATATCAAAATGTTAATCAGTGAAAAGATACAAAATTTGACCTTGACCTTTGACCAAGTGACCTTGACCTTTGGTCAAATGACTCCTTGTTTAATTCTGACCAACATTGCTTCAAAATGTCAAAACGAAATGTTCACCAGTGAAAGATACAAAATGTTACCTTCACCTTTGACCAAGTGACCTTTGATCAATTGACTCCTTGTTTAATTCTGACCAGTATTGCTTCAAAGTGTCAATACGAAATGTTCACCAGTGTAAAGATACAAAATGTTACCTTCACCTTTGATCCAGTCACCTTCACCTTTGGTCAACTGACTCCTTGTTTAATCTGACCAATTTTGCTTCAAACTGTCATAACAAAATGTTCCCCACTGAAAAGATACTGAATTTGACCTTAACCTTTGACCCAGTGACCTTAACCTTAAGTCAGTTGACTCTTTGTTAAATTCCAACCAACTTTGCTTCATAATGTTATAACAAAATGTTCATCAGAGAAAATATACAAAATTTGACCTTGACCTTTGACCCAGTGACCTTGACCTTCGGTCAATTGACTCCTTGTTTGATTGTGACGGACGGACGGATGAATTAGTAAAGGGCAACCGCATCTTCGATGTGGGGCCCTAATAACATGGAAGTTATGCCTTGGACAAACTTCGGTATCAAAATTAAACAAAAAGCCATAACTCTGTATATAGTGACGCACGAGACCTAATTCTAGTGCACTGCACACCTTCTGTGAGTGATGCATGTATACTTCAAGTTTGATTAAGATATCTTTAATGGTTTAGAAGTTATGCCGTGGACAAACTTCGGTATTAAAAATAAACAAAGGGCCATAACTCTGTATATAGTGGGGCACGAGACCTAGTACCAGTGCTCTTCACACCTTATGTGGGTGATGCAGGTCTATTTCAAGTTTGATTAAGATATCTTTAACAGTTTGAAATTAATCTCTTTCATTCGAAGGGGAGACATGATAAGCATGTACACTTTGTAAACTTAGTACAACGAACTACTCCCATAAAAACTTCGGTCTCGCTCTGCTCGACAATTGGTCTGCAAGGTACACCCCGTAGCTCGACGGTAGGATGCTAACTTCGCTTTAATTGTAGCAAACTCGAGATTTTGATATTATTATATGACCATTTTGATATCAGACCCCATATCAGCCAAGACAAGACAAGATTTTATTCTTTTTAACCACAATTTACATGTGATATTAAGAAAATATACAATGGGTACATTCAAGATAGAGTACGTGCTGTTTTAACCACGAGAACGGACTCTCTCTATTACTATATTAATATATATTTGCATATTTGAACTAGTAAAACTTTGTTATTTGTTGAAAAAGTTGCTGGAATTTTAAACAGTTTGATTGCCTGCTGTAATAATTTGGAATATACAATTTTCTTTCATTTGAAAAATTTGGACAATTAAACATATAATGAAATTCATCTCCAACTTCAGTATTACACAAATGGCATATTCTATTTCTTCTCTCTATATTTAACCATCTTCCTCTTTCTATTGGAAGTCTGGCATTGACAGTTCTAAATTTACAGAACATAATGGCTTTTTTTGTAGACAGGATAGTTAGATAAATTTTAGTTCATCTTTAAATAATTTATAATTTATTCCTTTGCTGGATTCATTTTTGTCAGAATCCCAATTTTGCACCGAGTGGTGATATGGGGTGTGATTGGGGATTAACTCGAGGGCTGATTGGGGGTGTGATGTCAAAATGGTCATATCATAAACTTTTTATCTTATGTTTTTTTTTCCTTAAAAATAAACAAAACATACACAAAAAAATATTTCTTTATTTTATTTATATTCATAAAAATGGTAACAAAAACAATGCTGTATATAAACAAAACAGTAACAATTATACGTAAACAGTCCACATTTAGATATTCTCAAATTCCTACAAAATGATATTCTTATTGAAATTTGGGTGGGGCTTTGTAAATCAATCTGTAAATTATTTTCTATGAAACCGCAGTTATTCCATGCCAACAATTCGTTTTTTACATTAAAAGTAGACAGCATTAAGCGGAAGCGGCAAAATCCGGAACTTTGGGAGGGGGTGTGATATCACTTTACTATGGGGTGTGATATCACTTTCAAGGGGTGTGATATCACTCCAAGGGTGTGTGATATCACCCGGGCTGAAATCAACTTGTGGAAATTTTAGACTTATTACACATACAAAAAGGGTGTTCTTATTAGTAAACATATGATAAAGCGTTGTAGCGTACATGTATGCTTGTATGCTCAAGCATGCTCAAGCATGCACTAGACTTTTCAAGATGATTTGTTTTTGTAATATACATGTACTTTTATTAATTTCTTATTTATGATTAATATACACCGTCCGTATCAATCATAAAAAAGGAAATAAATAAAAAATTAAATCTTTTTGGTCTTGTTGATATGTTATGTCTATACACATTGACAAATATCGAAGGTGTAGCTACTTAGTGAAGTACACAATTTAATATTATTCATTTAAAAAGTCGGGGTTTACCTGTTAATAATTAGACTAAACGGAGTTCCCAGAACACGGGCGATTGCTTTTAGGGCCTAGTAGATTTTGTCCAGCTCCTATGCATGCCCTCCCCCTCCTCCGGCGCCTCGCGCCTCGGACGCTCGACCATCCGTAGGCATTCACTCCGAAAAAGGATAGGCTATGCCACAGCTAGAAATTACTTTATCAAAATGGAATATAACTGATTTTAGTGGACATGAAGTTACTACGTATGTTGATATGTTTCACAGTCAAAATTCCACGTAGAAAACTTGGGGCGTCAATAAATAGTATACGTCACTGGCCTCAGGCGGGGGAAAAAATGCATAAATATGTAAAGATAGGCTTTTCCCATTAAAAAAATGAAAAACACATATTTTTTTTACTGACTTATATTTTGATGGGTTTGGAATATCTTATTGCACCCCATCCCTTTTTCGAAAAGTGGCTCTTAAAAAAACCGACTAATAAAAAAAAGATGCACCATAAAAAATAATTAGATAAAAAATCTGATGCTCCGGGTGAGGATCGAACTCACAACCTCCGCATTCCTCATCCTGTGTCTAGCACAGGGAAGGTACTGTCTATAAGTACGGCGCGCTAACCGATTGTGCCACCGGAGCATCTATGCAAGGGGGCCGCTCAGAAATTGAATAGTATTTCTTAGCGACAATCGATATTTTAGTCACCCTTTCTCGAGATACCATTTTGTGTATATGATATAACAATAACAACGTATTGACACGAAAATAAGTCTCTGTGATTTCGGCTTTTCGTTGATAGGAATATTAACGGCGGAAGGAAGCATTTACCGATTTGTGACAGCCCACCTGAGACGTCATCAATAAAGATGGCGGCGGCCATAGCAAAAAACTGTTGACGTTTATCTTGGACATTCTACATGGTATTTACTTTCTAATTGTTACATTTCCACTCTGCTGATCTAATACCCTTCGTAATTGATGGTCGTCTCATTGTAAACATTGTTACATATTTCGGGTTTCGTTTCATGGTTGGTTCATCCCATTTATTTGCCTGTGGCTGGCTGTCAACACAGGTGACAAGAACACAATTTGATATGTCGTGTACATTAAGCTCAATCAGGACAGTGTGTTAAAGTCTGTCATATCTGATATGCGGTTTATACAATACATTGTACATAAAGGCAATATCCGGGGACCGTGCATAGAAACTGTAACCTATGAAAAAATACAGAACCTTCTAAACAAATAGATTCATTCACTAATGTGCATGATTGATTGTACATTGGATTACATTATTTATGTATTTTTTTTAAACTAAGCGAAATATTTTCAATGTTTGTTCCAAATGCAATTTATTTATATAAACCCTATTTCTTAGTCAGTAAATGAAAATATGTACCGTTGACCCTCCCCGTTCAACGTAGAGAGCCCTATGGCGGGGAGTAAAAGAACCTGGGTTGGTGTTAGAAAAAAGGAGGGAATAGTGTAAAAGATGAGGATTAATTAGGTTGCCTTACAAGTGACAGCTGTAGGGAATTTCCCTTTAGCTCAGAGGTAGAGCATCTAGCTGTAGAGCCTAGGGTCGCGGGTTCGAGCCCAAGCAACGGCATTATCTCTATCACTTTTCTTCGGCCTATAACACATGTGTCTCTTGAACCTCTCTCGAGTGGTGGCTGTGGCAATACTGTCTTGGAGGTTGTTCCAAAAACATGTGGTAGAAGGGGAAAAGGACTGCTGATGAGTTTGCATACGAGAGTCAGGCCTGGAAGCGTAGGCTGTGACCTCTGGTTGTTGTTGAGGCACTCCTAGCTATAGGTATCAAATGTGGCTGTGATATGGTATAGCCACTTGTCTGTTGATTCTGCAATGATGATTCTGTACAACATTGTTAGCTTGGACTGCTGTCTACATTGTTGGAGTGTTTCCCACTGGAAATTCTTGAGCATAAACGACACACTGCTCATTGTTAGCTCACCTGCCCGAAGGGCAAGTGAGCTTATGTTATGGTGCGGCGTCCGTCGGTCGTCTGTCCGGCGTCAACTTTTTACTTTAAACAACTTCTTCTCAATAACCAAAAGGCCCAGGGTACTGATATTAGGCCTGTAGGATGCTGGGATGAAGGGTTACAAAGTTTGTTCAAATAAATGACCTTGACCCAATTTCAAGGTCACAGGGGTCAAATATGTTAAAATCTTCAAACAACTTCTTCTCAATAACCGAAAGGCCCAGGGTACTGATATTAGGCCTGTAGCATGCTGGGATGAAGGGCTACCAAGTTTGTTCAAATGAATGACCTTGACC